TAAAAACTCAATGAACTAAAAAAATTCCTAATACTAATATTAATACTAAATATCAATATCGGTATCAATACCAATACTACTAATATAAATACTAACACCAACACTAATACTAATACTAATATTAATACTAATACTAATACTAATACTGTAATAATAGTAATACTAACACTAATATTGATATTGATACTAATACTGTAAGTAATACTAACAATAATATTGATATTGATACTGATAGTGATACTAATACTGATATTTATACTCATACTAAAATTGTTATTAATTTTGATACTAATATTGATACTAACATTGATACTGATACTGATACTAATACTAATAGTACTAATATTAATACTAATACTAATCAAATAAGTAAATGCTTGTTCAATAATCTCTTCTAAGTGGAATCTTTGAAAAAGTAGCAAATAGTTAATACTAATACAAATAATAATACTAATACTACTAATACTAATACCAATACTAATATACTAATACTAATGCTAATACACTAATACTAATGCTAATGTTAATACTAATACACTAAGACCTCGTTTCGTTGCCAAGATAAGATTAGCCTAGATAAGATAGTTCTCCCTAAAAAATAATAGGCCTGTTATTTTAAAAGATGTTTGTTATCAGATTTTGAATTTTTTATCTCCCCATTATTTAATAGTATTTGATGTTTGGTTTCATTAACATCAATTAAATTACATAAAAATGACCTAATTATGAGAAAACTTTCTTATTGTACATAGTTTTTTTTTTCTTTTTCTTAATATTTATATTTTGTTATTTTGTTATTTTTGTTGTTATTAAATATTCTTACTAATGATACTGATACTAATATTGATACTCATATTGATACTCATATTGAAATTCATACTAATACTCATGACTAACACTCATATTAATACTCATACCCATACACATATTCATACTCATACTTATACTCAGACTCATACTTATACTCATACACATACTCATACTAATACCGATACTAATACTGATACTAATACTTATAGTAATACATATACTAACACTTATAATAATACTGATACTCATACAAATATATTGATAATCATATTGATACTGATAGTCATACTGATACTCATACTAATCCTGATACTTATATTGATATTAATATTGATACTTATATTGATACTCATACTCATGCTAATACTCATATTGATAATGATACTGATACTAATACTGACACTGATACTGATACTAATACTTATATCCATACTCATACTGATTTTGATATTGTTAATTACCAAGACTTATACTAATATCGATATTAATACTGATACTCATATAGCTACTGATATTGATATTGATATTGATACTGCTACTCATACTAATATTGATATTAATACTGATACTAATTAATATTTATAATCATACATATACTAATATTGATACTCATACTGATGATAGTTGATAATTATACTGATATTGATATTCATATTGATACTGATAATAATAATATTGATATTGCTATTAATACTAATATTGAGAATCACAATAATACTCATATTGATACTAATGTTCATACTCATATTGATACTCATACTAATACTGCTACTAATATTGATACTCATATTGATACCAATAATGATACTAAGACTCATATTGATATTGATATTGTACTGATATACTGATAATATTGATACTAATAATGATATTGATACTGATATTGATATTAATATTGATACTATTACCGATACTAATACTGATAATCCTATGGATACTCATACTGTTGAGACTCATACTGAAATACTGATACTTGTATGGATATATAGATACTCATACCAATATTGATACTGATACTAATATTGATACATATAAAATTATTAAAATGAAAAACTATTTCCGGACATATGAGCACCAACTGGTTTTTTCTTTTTAGTTGTTAATGGTGTTACTTAAATTGTTTTAATAATTGCATGTGATATTACTCATTGATTTCCATTTTATTTTTCCATTTGATCAGCAATTATAACGTAGATAGCCCAAAATAATATAATCTTAAGAACCATTTTTTTTAAATAATAAACAACTCATATTATGTACATGTATTCTAATTATATTTTATTGATAATTATCATGCTTGTGTTTTAATACAAATATAGTATATCGTCAATATTTCAAATACTATTAAATTAATTAAAAAGTTACAACAACCTACATATAAGAATTTTACTTACCCTATAATGTACATACTGATATAATAAATGATAAATAACAAAATATATGTTCAACAGTAGGTCTTAAAGTCAAAACTGAAAATGGGTCATTTATGCATAAAAAACGAAGTCTAACAATCGAAACACAAATACACTTGTTTTAATTGAACTTCCTAATATTACCAAAAAAAAAAAGAAAAAAAGAAAACACCAATAGAAATTCACTTACATGTATAAATATTCAAATTGTCACACAATATTGTAGTCACTTAAAAAAAAAAAAAAGAAAAACACTGTAGAAAATTCTAAATTCCTAATTGTATATTCGCTTGGAGATGGACAATGAACAAAAATGAGAGGATTGAACAATGGCGTAATTTTGTGGTATTATGGTAAATTGACAATTGCCTTTTTATCTAATTATATATTAATTATAAATTGTGAATTTCATAATTTAAGTAATAAAGAATGAAAAAGCATAAAATTTTGCATTTATAAATTTTAGTTCGGTAAATTAGTGATTACCTTATCTATCTATTTATAATTATAATTACGTAATTTAATGCTGTAAACAATGTAGTGAAGAGTAGAAAAGTAAGAATGATGCATCCATAGAAACAGTTTGGTGAATGAGTGAATGAGTGAAGTGAATATAAAATTTTGAAATTGCATAAATCGTTATTATTATATAAAATTTAGTGAATGCCAAAAGTTGAAAAGTGCAGTTTGTGCATTTAAACAAAATGCTACGCTTAAAAGGAAGTGTTTGAATTTGAAGAATGTGGGATTCTACAACAATCCCATAATTTTCGTTTAAATGCTTAAAATTTAAGGAAATTAAAATGAGGATGCCAATGGTATGAACCGGCAATTATATGTAATAAAATTCGACAATATAACGATTGCATAATCGTATAAATTATGACTAGTCATTTTTTTAGGAAACAAAATCCAAATTAAAATAAATATAAAATAGCCTAGGCATCCCACCCTACATATACTTTACTTTCAAAGTAAAAAAAAAGTTAGAACTAAAATGGTAATATACTTCATGAAATAAAATTTGGTGGTTATATGTTGACATACAAAGATGAATAAATGTGAAAAAATACAACAGTTAATGAAACTACAGACATTCTTGCAATCATAATGTCCATCGCTGCAAAATAATAACGAAAAGTTAAAGTGATAAATATGTAAAGGATACATAAAATATTATTAACAATATTACAATGGGTGATAAAATACATTTAGGATAAAAATGCGAATTGAATTCTAAGTAGTAAAAAGATTGCTACGGAAAAAAAAAAAAAAAGATAATTATTAAACACTGGCCCTGTGGGATCTCTTTTTTGACTTAATTTAAATTGTTATATTGATACTACCTCTGCAAAACATAAATAAAAGAAATATTGTTACAACTTTATGCCCTGAAATTAAAATGTAAAGTTAACCGATTTGTCAGGTTAACAACATCGACAAAATACAGTAAAACATAGACATTGCGAACATGAAAATATCATTTTTGAAAATAAATACAATAACGATTTAAATAAGATATTAATTATTTTGTATTTATATAGAGCACTCTTCGATAAATAAAAAAAAAAAAAAAAAAAAAAAGTCGACAAAATGACATGGGTTACTTGTGCATCACGGTCGGATTCTCCTGTCAATATTGATTTTGACAACCCTTTGTAAACTGAATCGCTTAAATCCTCCTGAAATCAAGAACTAATGAACATATACATTAATTGTCATGGTATAGTCTAAAACGAATGGAATGGCCGAGTTAAAAAATGAGTATAAAAAAACATAAATGCGAAACCTAAAGAACACCATTAACCAAAAAAAAAATAAAAAATTGTTACATATACACATACATTTTAAAAAATTACACAATAAATTAAAACATATAACGTGATCCGAACGAACACATCAAAAAAGTAAGAAACGTTATGCAAAATAGAAAGACGAGAAAAAAAAAATTAGAGTGACCCTTGGTCTGGTGTGATTATAACAAAAGATGGGCAGGAAGAATGAAATGAATAGGTTAAAGTTGATGATTTATATATTTAAGTTTCACACGCTAAATAAGTTAATAAAATTAAATGAAGGAAATTATAATTAATTGAATTAGTTGGTGGAAATAAATCATGAAATTAAGGTAATTAATATCATTACTCATTGTGTAGATAATTACTATATGCAAATCGAAATTTATAGATGGAAATGATCTCCATACAATCTATATAATATAATTGATTTGTAATAGATATTGATTGATATTTGACATAAAAATGAAGAAAATATTCCAGCATACATAAAGGAACATTTCCATGGATCAAATCACACATGTGCAATAAATCCGGAAAATAACATGCGAAAAATATATTTCAGAAAATTAAATATATAAAAATATATTTAGACTTTAGGATATTGTATGCATGAAATAATAAATATACATGTGTTAATTTCTAAATGAATGTGCAAATATTAAATAGGAAAGAACTTAAACACATACCAAAATAGAAATGCCAACTAATCAATTTGAGATGCCACATAATTCAATTGAACTCCAACTAAGCAATTTGGAGATATGACATCAACATTTGCCACATGTCATTCATATAGGGCATAGATCCTCTTTTTATATTATATATAGATTAGTGAAAACCCCCCAATACATTTGATTATATTAGGATGGATATAACCTCATTTTACATATTAGTGAGACCCCCTTATTTTATATTTTAATTTAACATAAATTAAAATTATAAGTGGTGTGCCTATATTACCCTTAATTATCATATAAAATCACCAAACCATATTTCTCTTCTTCATCTCCCTTTTCTCTCCAGCAGCCACTACCTCTCTCTCGTTTCTATCCCCAACCCCAAACCAGATCTCATATGCCCACTGCCACCCTCCGTCCACCACCGCCGTCGCTGCCCTCCGTCCACCGCCGTCGTCACCGCCCGACGGTGCCCTCGTTAATTCTTTACTCTTTTCGAGTCTCTCCAAATACCAGAAGCCGTCATTCAGTAGGCAACAATCGCTCTGCGATTGCCTCGAGTCGCGGCTCTTGCCGATTCATTCAGCCCGAGGATGAAACCGGTAATAAAAAACACCGACAACTTATGTTTCGAGAACTCATCGGAGCAAAGCTGTTAATTCATCCCATCTTTTGCCTAGATCGAATTTTCAGATTCGGTTCAGATCTGTATTCATGATTTTCGATAATAATGTGGTTTGTAGATGATTTTCGATATATTGTGGAGTGTAGTTGATTTTTTATATTAATTTTCTCTGAAACCATTTTATGCAGAGTGGTAATTGGCAGTTGACGCAAGGGATTTGCGTCCTTTCTTCACCTGCGAGTGATTGGCATGTAGAAGTTGGGGAGTGGTTGAGACGGCGGCGATGGAACAAATCACTCTCACAACTTTCGGATTCAACACATGGTCGGTGGAGAAATAGCCCTTTCTCGATGGATATGCGACTGTAATGTCGAGAATCTGGATTCAACTATAGTTGATTATAATTCTCTTAAATTGAGATTTTTTATTTTATAGTTGATTTAGATAAATTATAGTTGTTTTCGATTTTTATAATTGGTTTCGATAATTTTAAAGTTGATTTGATAATTTTTTAGTTGATTTCAATTTTGTATGGTTGATTTTCGTTAATTTGTAGTGGATATAATTTTAGTAACCGTGCTATTAAAAATAACTGTTTTTTTGTGATTGTTGGTTCAAGAAATAAACGAACAAAAGAAGTAGTTGTTTTCAGTAACCTATAGTTAATTCAGGAAATAGTTGATTTCGGAAATAGTTGATTTAGGAAATAGTTGTTTTCGGAAATAGTTGATTTCGGGAATAGTTGATTCCGAAAATTTTATAGCTGTTTTCGGAATTTTATAATCGATATGAGAACAAAAATCTGGAAAATTAAAATAATAAAATTGGAAAAAGGATATTTTTTACAAGTATTAGTTTTTAAATAAATTAACGAATATTATACTTCCCATAACAAAATGATACTAAAGTAGTGGAGAGAGAATAG